CCCCTCCATAACCCCCGCGGATTCTGCCTGCCCCCCCCTCCGCCGCCCCCCCCCCCCCACCCCCTCCCGGCCCCCCGTGCGTGTGCGTGAGTTTTCACTACTCTTTTAATGTGTTTGTTTTTGTTTTGTTTTTTTAATAATAGGCAGAACTTTGGTCTACAGTCTGACCCTAACCCTAATGGGAATCAAACCCCCGACATACCACTAGAGAGAACTGGAGAGCAGGTAATGGACAGTGACGTGTGCGTGTCAGTGCGTGTGTTCGTCCACTCGTGACCCTACCTCTTGCAGATGTCATCGGCTGTCTCCTTGGTGAACACCCGCTCCTGGAGCACGTTGTTGAGGGCATGGATGGCACAGAGCTCCAGTCGTTGCTTCTCATGAAAAACATCTCCTTCGCTCATGCTAACACTTGTTTGGACACATAAACACGTAGCAACGACCCTGTCGCTAAAACGAGGCGGACCGTCCTGGGGCCGCGGACCTGAGACGGTGAAAACTCAGCCCAGCAGCTCGAGCTGAAACCGACGTTGTTGTTCTCCGAGGTCTGGAGAGGCCACGGAGGAGATGTTTGGAGAGTCACTGTAGTCTGACAGCTACATCCACAAACCGGAAGCAGGGCTGTTTGTGTTGTTGTTACGTGGTCGCCCCGCCCATATATGGTCAGTGTCACAGCGGCCGTAGTTTTTTCTCCTGTGTCGTGTCATAATCACAGCGATGACAAGAACAAACTCAGGAACATGAAGCGATCATAATCCAAATACACTGAGGTTTGTCCGTGCTGATTATTGTTGACGTGATGTTAGGGCGCCCTCTGCTGTTCCACGGTTGCTGTGACTTGTTATTTAAAGGTAAACTAAACATAACCTTTGGAGGAAGGAAAACAGTTTGACGTCTAACAAAGTACGAAACACTAACCCACATCTTAACGCGCTCACAACATTAAATAAATAAGGTAATCCAACATGGCTGCAGGGATGACACAGACCTGCTATTGTTTAAAAATAATAAATTACATTTTTGTTGATCCCATATTAAGGACATTTTTGTGTTAACAGTCGATTTGTTGCATGTTTCTCTGGGAATTGAACCCAGAAGTTCGTGCTTTCTGCTTCCGAACCACTACACTGGCACAGCGGTTAGCCACATAGTTATTTTAGTTCGTTTTTATTACAGATTTAAACATACATTAAATGTTAGGTGGTTAATTGTTTCTCGTTGAATTATGTGTTGATCCAATCAAAAACTTAAATAAAATAAAGACCCAAAGTCTTTGTCCTCCTCTAAATTACACAAACCGTGAATATATTTGCATATTTCTGTGTATTTGTTATGGAGTATTTTGGTTGACCAGTTGTGTTGTTGTTTTGATCTCCAGATCCTCTACTGATTTAAACACAGGTCGTTCGGCTTTAAATGTGTTTATTAAACCAGTTTTACTTGGTTCGAATTCATGCACGGCAGCTTGATCTCGTCAAAGTTCCATGAGCCCCAGAGTTGACGACGACTGTTTCAAACGGACCAATGAGTGACCGTAGTCACTGTCTGTTGGCAGATTCAACTTTGGCATAACGAAAATGCAGCACCTTGATTGGTTTAGAATTTGAACGGTTATACGTCATGACGATGCTCATTGGCCAACGCTGTCAGGTTAAACTGAGTATCGTATTTTTGTTCCTGTGTCAACGGAATGAAGAAAAAGACGAGCAGTCAGTGACGCCGGACTAGGTTGACATTAAAAGACACATATTACAGACAGTAACCGGAAAAGCGTCTCCTGTCCACGTCTACAACTAGTTCACCAACTCAGCAGAAGTATTTTCAAAGATGGTAAGTGGCGAAGCCGAGCTCACGGCTAATGACGGCTAATGAGGGCTAGCAGCTAGCTTGTTGTTGAGTCCTCGCCAGCCGTCGAACATCTAATTTAGGCGCTGTGTATTTAGTAGTTTGTGACGTCAATAGAAAGTCATCACATGTTGTTTAATATAACGTGCAGAACATAATGCGCCTGTTGTAGTTGTTTTACAGACTTATAGCAGCCTTTTTGTTAGCTTTGAAGCACAAGGATGCTAATGCTATGGTAAAGTTATCTACTCGAACGTTAAAGTTCCAATGTTTTGTCATCGTTAGTGTTAACAAAGGCTGCTTGAGCAAATGTCAGGACATGTTCTAGAAATTAATTGTAGTTTTTGTGATGGTGATGTGTTAAGAAAAGTCGGTCTGAACTTTCTCAGCTATAGTTTTATATATAGTTTTCTTGCATGTGTTGTATAAACGGACATTATGTTCAATTAAATCATTGTAGAGATAAATGTACATTTCATCTACGTTCATTGATGTTATTCTTTCACATGAATCTAAATACATTACATACAGTGTGTTTGTTGTTCCATTTCTTTCTAGAACTCCAATGTAGAGAATTTGCCTCCTCATGTTCTTCGCTTGGTCTACAAAGAAGTTTCAGCTTTGGCGGCAGACCCGCCTGAGGGTATTAAAGTTTATCCAAGTGAAGAAGACATAACTGAACTGCACACGGCGATCGAAGGCCCAGGTGAGGCTGAGATTCAGACTTGGTTGCTTTGGCAAAGACAGGGAAAAATTGGGGTGATGGCATTGGGGGGAGAAAATAGTGGGATGAAGAAAGAAAATAGACATACAGTACTGATACAATGGCTAATAATGAATATCAAGTGGAACAAATTAGGACTGTGAGGTTGAATATGATAAGAATACAAGTGTAGATTGTAAACAGTAATTGAAGCATTACTACTAGTGATGCACTGAAATAAAAATTCTTGGCTGAAACCGAAAATGAGGAAACCTCAATCAAATCAAAGCACAGTGAATACATTTATTATGAATAATTAATGAATTGATAATTGTCAAAATAATTAATTGTCAAATGTCTGGCAGAGTAGCCAGCAGAACAGCCTACCCATTATCATCGTTTGAGGAACTCGATGTCGCGATCTCAGAACTGAACATATCAAACAACCAACATGAAAAACAAAAATGTACTTTTCAGTGGCCGAAAATGTTCTGAATCTCTAATTCTTACAGCTTTAGTCTGATCTTTGTTTGAACACTTTCACATTTATATGTGTGTGTGTGTGTGTGTGTACAGCCATGTGGTTATATATCCCATAATGTGGCTGTTTAGACTCCTGTACTTGGGCTTTTCCTGAAAATGTGTGGAAAGATGAGATCAAAAACAAAGTGTTTCACATCAGTAGGATGAGTTTAGTCCCCAGAGGGGGAATAGTTTAAAAATAAGAACAAATGTTACCATAGTGGCGTAAACATTTAGTTATTCAGTGTAACATTTACACTTTTTGTATCATGATGCTGTAGCTTCAGATTTGGAAGAGAAACCTTTAAATGAAAGAAGTAGTAATCCTCAGATGTAACATGCAGTGTGATCATACTTTAGTCACATGAGATAATAGTACAAAATACTTTGTATTTAGTGTGTGTGTGTGTGTGTGTGTCCTGACCCACTCACTGCTCCGTGACCTGCTGCCTTTCATTCTCACAGTAACATCATCAATTCTTTATGCCTCGACAGAGGGGACTCCATTTGCTGGTGGCATTTTCCGAATGCGTCTGGTCCTTGGGAAGGACTTCCCCGCAGTTCCACCCAAGGGGTATTTTCTGACCAAGATTTTTCACCCGAACGTTGGTCACAAAGGAGAGATCTGTGTCAACGTGTTGAAGAAGGATTGGAAAGCAGAGCTGGGCCTCAGACACGTCCTACTAGTAATATATATAAATATATAACCTGTACACACACACACACACACACATATAAATGTGAAAGTGTTCAAACAAAGATCAGACTAAAGCTGTAAGAATTAGAGATTCAGAACATTTTCGGCCACTGAAAAGTACATTTTTGTTTTTCATGTTGGTTGTTTGATATGTTCAGTTCTGAGATCGCGACATCGAGTTCCTCAAACGATGATAATGGGTAGGCTGTTCTGCTGGCTACTCTGCCAGACATTTGACAATTAATTATTTTGACAATTATCAATTCATTAATTATTCATAATAAATGTATTCACTGTGCTTTGATTTGATTGAGGTTTCCTCATTTTCGGTTTCAGCCAAGAATTTTTATTTCAGTGCATCACTAGTAGTAATGCTTCAATTACTGTTTACAATCTACACTTGTATTCTTATCATATTCAACCTCACAGTCCTAATTTGTTCCACTTGATATTCATTATTAGCCATTGTATCAGTACTGTATGTCTATTTTCTTTCTTCATCCCACTATTTTCTCCCCCCAATGCCATCACCCCAATTTTTCCCTGTCTTTGCCAAAGCAACCAAGTCTGAATCTCAGCCTCACCTGGGCCTTCGATCGCCGTGTGCAGTTCAGTTATGTCTTCTTCACTTGGATAAACTTTAATACCCTCAGGCGGGTCTGCCGCCAAAGCTGAAACTTCTTTGTAGACCAAGCGAAGAACATGAGGAGGCAAATTCTCTACATTGGAGTTCTAGAAAGAAATGGAACAACAAACACACTGTATGTAATGTATTTAGATTCATGTGAAAGAATAACATCAATGAACGTAGATGAAATGTACATTTATCTCTACAATGATTTAATTGAACATAATGTCCGTTTATACAACACATGCAAGAAAACTATATATAAAACTATAGCTGAGAAAGTTCAGACCGACTTTTCTTAACACATCACCATCACAAAAACTACAATTAATTTCTAGAACATGTCCTGACATTTGCTCAAGCAGCCTTTGTTAACACTAACGAATCCATTCTGTTTCTTTGTAGACGATCAAGTGTCTCCTCATCCATCCAAACCCAGAGTCGGCTCTGAACGAAGAGGCCGGCCGTCTGCTGTTGGAAGACTACGCTGAGTACGAGTCTCGCGCTCGTCTGCTCACAGAGATCCACGCCATGGCTGGTCCTGGTGGAACCTCTGTGGCTCCGCAGGACACTAATGACGGCCCCCAGCCAAAGAAGCATGCGGGCGACCCTACGAAGAGAGCGGGGCCCAGCGCAGCAGCCGTGCCGGTGGCTTTGGGCAACGGGGCGAGCGGAGCCAGCACCACGAGCAGCAGCAACAGCAGCAACAGCAGCAGCAACAGCACAGCAGGAAAGAAAAAAGTGCGTAAAAAGCGTGCACTGAGGCGACTTTAATACCTCCAATAAAGTGTGTGTGTGTGTGTGTGTGTGCGCGCGCGTGTCCACATTAGTGTAAGAGTGTGTAAATATAAATATTGACGTGTTTTGATTAACCCTTTCCTGATTCTTGGTGCCTCCAAGCCCAGACTCCAACCACTCTGTCATGTCGTCGTTAACACGTCCTATTTTTTAAACATGATGTGGAAAAACAAATCATTTTCTAATTGAGAATGCCAACGTTTTTGCGTGGAAAGTGGTACCATAGTTTTCCTCTGGACTCAGTGGCCTCTTTTTATCTGTCCATTTGTGGAACAACAAACTTTTATGAAGCTGAGCTTAGACAAAAAACCAACAAAAAGAAGCTCTTTTGAATGCGTTGTTTGGTAAATGCTGCTGCCACAGTACTGTGTACTGACCGGCCGCTCACTGTTCAGCCTCAACCTCCATTCTACTTCAGTTCAAGACTTTTTTTTTGTTTGTTTTCCAAAATAATGGTCACAGAAATTGTGAAAGGAATTATTAAAAACTATTTTTAGACTGATTTTCTTTTCCCAAACCGAATCTTGAGCAGTAAAGGTTTGGAACAAGTCTTTTTGATGCCAGCTGGTCTTTGGTTCTTTTGTCAAAATTTCCCCTTAGGATTTTTTAAATGTCTCTAAAATGGTTTGACTGTCCAACATTTTCAGTAGTTGTTTGTAGTTGATGTCCAGCTGGTCGGTCGGTCGGTCGGTCAGTGGACACCTACGTTATTGGGAACCGACGCCTCTAAGCTCTGTGTTCAACACTGATGTGGTTGAAGCCTCCTCCTTTACCCAGAAGGCAGTGGGAGCTCGCTGACCTGCCGTGTGGGAACAGCAGAACATTGACATCTACAACCCAGGCAGGTGTTCTGGATTTTCTAAGTACACGTGGGCTTTTACATTTCCCAAGGAAACACACTGAAGTACTGTGGTTTTATAGAGACGTGGACGAGAAGGTGCTGCTCACAATGTTACTGTGCACAACCGGAGCTGGACAACCTTCTGTCCATTTTAAATTATTTAAATAAATAAAAGGTTGAAACATGACCAGTGAAACAGACCAGAGGTGGTGTTT